CATCATCGAATTGCCACTGGAGCTAACGGCACCAGAACATCCTGCCATGAGGAGTATCGGAAGGCAAAGGAAATGAAGCGAGGACCGAGGGCGGAGAGGAAGGAGGGCAGGGAAGGTCCTGTGCGCAGGAAGCGAACCAGCGGAGAGGGAGCCCGGGCCGTCGGCATTTATTGGACAAACGTCCCCTGAGCTCCCGCTGCAGTGCGTGCTCACAGTTCAGCGGGACTGCGAGCCACTCCCCGTGCAGCTTGCAGAATTCAAATCAAACTCAAAACGAAAGGCGTCATGAACGGTTCTACACCCCTGTCACGTGGTTAGCCAAGAGACGCGTCTTTACCGCAGAAACACATAGCGAGTGTGACAGGAGGCTTTACGTGATGTCATTTTTCCGTCAAGACCACCCGTTCCCTGCCCATCTCTGCTCGGTGTCCCCGGTGCGTCTGCCCTTTCTCCCGCTTTCTCCAGAAGCCCTTTGCTTCCGCGGCCCTCGTCCTGCAGCTTCCTTCATTCTTCCAAACTTCCCCTAACGTGCATCTGCCCTGAGCTCCAGGGCCCTTCGCAACTTTTGCAAAAATGTCCTCTTACTTCCTCCAAACTTCCCCTAACATGCATCTGCCCTGAGATCCAGGGCCCTTCACGACTTTTGCAAAAATGTCCTCTTTTATTATCCACCTGTGAACACGAATGTAGCCAAACTGGGAGGGGGTGGGGGGAGACGTGTCCTGTATTTTAAGTTTAGATTGTTAAGGTCGTTTGAGATTTGAGGCCAAAAAGTCAATGTTAAAATAACTTTATAATACTATATTAAATTTTTATAAAGAAAATATTATTTTCACCCATAGTCTGGCCCCCTCAACTGTGTGATCACTTGCATTCAGGTCTACGTTTCTTCCATCGTTTATCCATAAATCTAGCCTGGGACAGAGCGATAACCAAGAGCTATATACATGATTATTTTCCATGTTTTTTCTTAACGTTATTTCAGAAAGACTACTTTTATGTGGACTCTGTGTTTATAAGTTTAATCGATTCGAAACACTCCCTTGGCTGACAACAACATGTTTAACCTTTCACCTATTAGACACTGAGGTCGCTCGAAGGGCTCTGGCTGTCGTATTTCCGTTGTTGTGCCATTTCTAGCCATCGCTGATTTCCTGTTTTGCAATGACTTTCTCAGGATGGCCTCCCAGGGGCAGAACTCCAAGGTGACGGCGAAGATCATGTCGTGGCTCACGCGTGCTTACCAGAATGTCGGTGGCCACCACGGTGCCACCCACAGGGGATGCCTGTGCCAGGAGCTCCATTCGAGACTTAGCAGTCAGAGACACAAATGTCCCTCTGAGTCCTTGGCCCAATGGCACTTCATGAGAACCTTCTTTTTCGGCCACATCAGCACCCCAAAAATCCCAGTTCCTCCAGAGGACCACCCCCCGGAGTTTGTAAGCACCTCTGCTCTGCCGACAGCTCAATGCTCGGAAGTTAGAACTGCAACCCTTCCCCTCCGTGACTGGTCTTTTCACCCCACAGACAGAGGCAGCTGCCCGAGTTCTGAGGCTTCCACCCTGAACATGAAGCCCAGGTCCTCGTCACTGAGAGCTGGCTCAGGCCTGGCCCATTCCCTGCGACTCTGGTGCAGACCTGTCTAATCACTAGACTCCGCCCACAGCCCTGGACCTTTGTGTCCCAGCTTCTGCCTCAGGTCCTACTGCCTCCTGCCAACCCCCCACTATGTCTACCGATGTGCCTACTCTGGATATTTCAAATAAACAGAATCGTACAGTATTTGATCGTTCGCAGCTGGCTTATTTCACTTAACACAATGTTTTCAAGGTCTGTCCATGTCGGAGCATGTGTTAGTATTTTGTTTAATTGGCAAGGGATCTTTCACTGCACAGATATACTATATTATCTATTCATCAACCGATAGACATTTGGATTATTTTCACTTTTTGGCTGTTACAAATGATGCCACTATGAACATCCATTACAAGATTTTGTTTGGACTTATTCTGACTTCTCTTGGTTATACACCTAGGAGCAGAATTCCTGGGTCACGTGATAGCTCTACACGTAAACTTTTGAGGAAGTGGCAGACCGTTTGCCAAAGCAGCTACTCCATGTTACGTTCCCACCAGCAGTGCGAAGGGTTCTCGCGTTCTCACATCCTCATCGACACATATCACTGTCTGCCTTTTTTATTATAACCAGCCTAGTAGGTGGGAAGTAGTATCTCATTTGGGGTTTGATTTGCATTCCCTTAATGGTAATGATGTGAGCATCTTTTCATGTACTTGTCGACCATTCATAGATCTTCTTTGGAGACATAACTAAGTAAATCCTTTGCCCATTTTTAAATCGGACTATTTGCCTTTCTATTTTTGTGTTGTAAGAGATACTTATTCATTCTAAATCCAAGTTTCTTGTCCAGTATATGATTTGCAAATTTTTCTCCCATTCTGTGATGGTCTTTTCACTTTCTTAATGGTGTCCTTGGAAGCACAGACATTTTTAATTTTGATAATGTCCAATTTATCAACTTATTTTCTTCCGTTGCTGTTCTTGTGCTGTCCTATCTAAGAAACCAGTGCCCAGTTCCTGTTCCGGGCCACAAAGATTTACCCTATGCTTTCTTCTAATAGTTTTACAGTTTTAGCTCTTGACATTGAGGTGTATGATACAGTTAATTATCGTATGTGGCATGAGACAGGGGTCCGACATCATGCTTCTGTACATGGATGCCCAGTTGTCCCAACACCATTTATTGGAAAGACCATTCTTTTCCCCAAGTGGAAATGATGTTGGCATCCCAGTCGAAAATTAATTGACCGTAAATACAAGGCCTTATTTCCAGATGCTCCATATATTCCATTGACCTATATGTCTCCTCTTATTACCACTGACCTAGGCACCCACCCCGTCTTGACTACTGCGGCTATGTCATTGTTTTGACATTGGATGGAAAATGTGAGCCTACCGGTTCTTTGATTTCAAGATTGTTTTGTCTAGTCTCTGTCCCGGAATTTTTATAGAAATTTTATGATTTGTCAATATTTGCAAAGAAGACAGTTGTGATTTCGATTAGGAACTGCACTGACTCTGAATGTGAGTAGTACTGCCATCAAAATATAAAATCTTCCAATCCACGAGCAAGGAATATATTTCCATCTATTTAGATCTTCTTTCAATGGTTTTATAGTTTTCAGAGTATACATTTTGCACTTCTTTTGTTAAATTTGTTCTTATTTTATTCTTTTGTTGCTCTGGTACATAAAGTTATTTTCTTACTTTCAATTTGTTAATTGTTATTGTATAGAAATATAATTGATCTTGTATATTGAAGGAAATTGTGGTGAACTTTTATTTTTATATTCCGTCCAAAGCATTGCTAAATACAATCATTTCCACATGGAAACAGTGTTGGATATTAAAAAAAAAAAGTATCAGTGAGGCTGTTGCTGTCTTGAAATTCTTAACAATCTTATCTTTGAACTTGTTTTTGGTTAAGTGGAGTCCATGGCAACAGCGGAGCATTTGCACGTGAGCAAAGAGATACGTGCAATAAGCACGTTCACGGCCACTCCATATGGTGTTTCAAATACCCCACGAATTTAGACTTCCCAGAGGAGCCCAATGGTGAGCATCCAGCAAGACTCAAACTGAGTACGAGGTATCCCATTATGTCTACAGTTGAATGAGCTGGGTGATGACGGCCCTGAGAGACCACAGTATCCCTAAGAACCTGAACTTGCTTCAAATACATAATAAACAATGGTGTCCTGAAAACACCAACAACCAAGGAACTCTATCATATTCTTACGTTACTTCCTTGTAGTGTGCCTTCAAATTCCTTTATTGTACTGAAAATAATAACATAGCAGGAAAGGAGAAGTTCCTTTTAGTCCTTCCTTACTCATCGGAAAGCCTAGGGTACAAGGTGCTGGTAGAGCATGTGCATAAATCAGAGAGCATTAAAAACGGCTGAGTTAGTCTTGTGCAGAATTTCCATGGTTCTGATAAGAACGAAACACACAGGCAAGCCCGAGCTATGACCTAGGAATCGGGTTATTTCAGTCTGAGACACTGAGCCAAAAGGGAAAATCTTTCTATTACCTTTAATGGCACTTCCTCCTCCCAGCCTCATTGTTTTGAACAAGGATCCTGCATTTTCGGTTTGTTTTGCATCCACAGATTATGTAGCCAACTCTGCAGCAGGAAACAAATGGAAGCCTCTTTCTGGGTGGTCTAGTGACAGCAACTAAACGAATATGTGAACAGACAACGCAATATGTAAACAGACAACGCACAACGTAGCGTTCACTAGCAATAAGCACTGTGCAGAAAACTGAGGAAACAGACAACACAATATGTAAACAGACAACACACAACATAGCGTTCACTAGCAATAAGCACTGTGCAGACAACTGAGGAGGCCAGGTGGCTGGAGCAAGTTGGAGAGGGTCTGAGAAAGAGACCTTGAACCCTGGGAAGCCGTGGCAAGGGCTCTGGCGTTTAGGGGGCTGAACAGAAGAGTAACAAGGTCTGAGTTTTGTTTCAGAGAAAACTGTGGCCGCTGGGACTGTGTAGGAGAGGGAGGCAGGCGCGGAGGTCGGGCGGTGTCAGCGGTGTCGGCTCCCGCAGTCTCCCTCAGTTGCGGGGTCTACAAGACGGGAGCCCCGTGTGGAAGGGCGGTGGGCCCTTGCAGACATCCGGAGGACTGAAGGAGCAGGCCCGGGAGCAGAACCATAGCTACGTTTTGAATCTTTAAATCTGCGTGTGTATCAGACCTCGAAAGGAAGACATCGAATAGCCTTCAAGTTTGCACAAAACCCCTCCCTTCCAGGTTTTGGATGCGCGCACGCGCACAGCCGCCCACGACGCCGGGGCCGGTCCTCCAGAGCAACGAGAGCTAGCGGCGGCGACCCCTGCCAGCCGCAGCGACGTCCGACGACGCGCCGGAACAGACGTCGCGCCTGCGCAGAGGCGCTCGGCATCGGAGGCTTTTACGTCATCACGGCGCGACGTCCCGGGGGACAGTTTGGGGATCTGGCTAGCGGGAAGGTGTGGCGGCGGGACCATCCGGGAAGATGCCCGTGGCCGTGATGGCAGACAGTGCCTTTAGTTTCAAAAAGCTGCTGGATCAGTGCGAGAACCAGGAGCTCGAGGTAACCGTCCGCGTCGCGCCGGGGCGGCTGCGGGGTCTCCTCCGGCCCGGGCGGCCCCGGGCTCCGCGGTAACGTGGCCTGGGGCCGGCGCGG